CTGCCTCTGCCGACGCTCGCGGCTGGTTTGTGCTTCCGATAATTGTTCCCCTCCTCTGTGAAGGAGGGAAAAGGGAAACAAAACAAAGCAAACAAACAAACAACCACAAAACAAAGGAAAACAACAGTAAAACAAAAACAGACAAACAAACAAACAAACAAAAAACAGAACTCCGCACTTTTAGAGATACCATTATAAAAGGAAAAAAAAAAGAAAAAAAGAAAAAAGAAAAAAGAAAGAAAGAAAAAGAAAAGAGAGGGACTCACCGTTTTGTCCCAGCGTGTCCTACTCACTGTGCGTGCACTGCTGGCGTTCTGCAGCACGGCGGTCTCACGGAGGGCAGCTCCCGGTACGGGCACAGATCTTTCCGGACAGCGGCAGCTATGAGGATAGATTCCGTCCGTTTGAAGGGTTTGGAGAAAAGAGGTCCGGAGACGACGGGGCGGGGACGTGCCTCGGTGCGGGGGCACAGAGCTTCTGCCTGTGCTGTAAGGAAGGGACGGCCGGGCCGCGTGGCCGCAATCATCGCTTTGGGATCCGCGTGTCAGCGCTGAGCTCCCCGCGGCCGCGAGCGCAGCGCGCTGCTCGGACGGAGCCGCTCCTTCACCCTCCTGCCCCGCGTGATGTCACGGCTTCCACTCTCTTCCAACCGCTTTGCGGATTTCCTGGACGCCGAGTGCCAGCAGAAGGCAGCGCCGGGGCCCGCAGCGCTCCGAGGCCGCCCCGAGGCCGTGAGGACGTGGCCGGTGGTGCGGGGCTGTGCGAGGGCGGAGCGGGACGGTGGGGTTCAATCCATCTCCATCACCATCTCCATATCTATATTTAAATATATACGTCTTTATCTACATCTATATATCTCTAATCTCTGTATCTATCAATCTATCTATATCTATATACTTCTATCTAATCCATACCTACTCCTCGCCCTTTCTGCACAAAATCGCATTCTCCGTTGCACTCAGGGCATTTCCTGAAGTACCCCGATAGAAGAGAGTTTCTCTTTGGCTATTTTTCGTGTTATGGTTGCTCTGAGCAGGGAAACGCAATGGGATCTTAACGGAGGAAAGATGGGAAAATGGACAAAACTCTCCTTCCCTTCAAAACGGGAATGAACCGCCCGCAGCACCGGGAGAGATGCGGAACCGCGGGGATTCCACTCCCCCCATCCCCCTTCAACCCTCGGAACAGCCGCGGTGTGACAGTGAGCGGCGGAGGGCTGTGAAGTGTGCCCTGGGAGGGATCGATGAGTCCCGAAACGAATGAAAACGTTTTGGTTAAGGAATAGAAACAAATTGCGAGCAGTGAGGTGTCTTTAGGAATACCTTGCATTTCTAACGCTACGATAAACGCTTCGCCTGGTGCAAACAACACAAACACCCGTTAAATGCGGAGCGCTTTCTTTTTAAGACCACGGCGCTTCCCTTGCAGTAGATGGAAAACGAAGTGCGCGTAATTTGGGGCTGCCTTCGTTCGCCCCATCGCTGCTGAATGGCAGACAGTGCCCAGCGCGTCCCCCCGGCATGGGGCTGGCTGAGAAGCAGCAGAGGATCGCATCCCCCGGCGCAGAGCCGGGTACGAGGTGCGAAATCGGCGCTCGGATTTGGGGGTTCTGTGAATTAAACGATTTCCGTCATTTTAAGAGTCACTATTAAAAATAGTTCTATATATTTACATATATATACATCGACCGATTTTCTTTGAGCGGTGGGATTCGCATTGCAACGATTTTAAACCATTATCCGAGGGTGCAGCCGGAAGGTGAAAGCCCCCGTTCTTCCCGCAGAGCACCGCACCGCCCCGCAGCGGAGCACCGCACCGACCCGCACCGCTGCGGCTCCGACCCTCGGCGTCTGCGGGGCCACTAATTGTCGGAAGCGGTTCTGTGCGCTCGGGTCGGTGCTGTGCCCAGAGGTGGAGGCGAGGGAAGAGGATACATTTTTGCCCGGGACATTCGGAACCCCGCAGTGAAAAGGAGGGGAGGGTTCCCCCCTTCTCACGGGTTGTAGAGCGTCGTTTTAAATTGACGGGACGCGGAGAAAACGGAAAATCCGAGCAGAACCGCTTCGTGCCAGCACATGGTGCGGGTTACGGGGAAGTCAGTGCGGGACGGAGCATCGAGCAGCTGAGGGAGCACCTGGCTGTTGTAGCAGGCTGTGGCATAGCACTACAGAACGACAGTGACCCATGCACAGTGCCCGGCCCTGCCCAGTGCCCTCCGCTCCGTGCGGGGTTCCCGCGGCGCTGGGCCCGAGGCAGCGGCGAGACGCGGGGCTGCGGGATCGGCCCCGACGGCGGCTCCCGGAGGACGGCTCTGTACCCCCTCCGCAGAGCCCCGCTCAGGGCACTCCGGCAGCGAGCACGAATCGTGCGGTGGTGCGCGGCACGGCTTAGGGGGAACGAAACGAACCCCGTTGTGCTGAGCGGAATGTTCGTCAAACGGCTCTAAACGCCGGGGGAAGCGTTCCGCTCCACGCTGCGCTTTGTTTCTTTTCTCGACCAACTGCTCTGAGTTCCCCATAGAGATGTAGCCGAGCTCGTGGCCCTTCCGCATCCCGCGGGGCCCTGTGCTGTGCTGTGCTGTGCTGCCTGAGGCCGAGCGTGACCGTGGCCGTGGGGAGGGGGCGGGCAGGTGGCGGGCGGTGCCAGGAGCGCCCTGCCGTAAGGAGGAGGGGGGGACACGGCAGCTCCGGGCCCGCGTTCGGTTGGGTGTGTGCCTGCCCGTTGCCCGCCTTGGGGCCCGTTTGCTTTATATGGCAGCGGATCAAATGCTGCGCCGTAACCTCCCGCTTCCAG